TGAGCCGAGATCGCGCCATTGCACTCCAACCTGGTGACAGAGCAAGACTCCTATCTCAAAAAAAAACCAAAATAATAAAAAGTTAGTTACTAGCCATAAAAAGAATTAATCTGCTATGTTGAATATTGCCCTTTCTCAAGAGATAAAAGATATGTCTCTCCTGTCTTCTCTCTGTGCCTAAAAATGGGCCACCTTGTCTTAAAGGATGAAAGGTCCAAGGCCTGGAGCAGTGGCTCACGTCTATCATCCCAGCACTTTGGGAGGCCAAGGCGGGCGGATCACTTGAGGCCAGGAGTTAGAGATCAGCCTGGCCAACTATGGCAAAACCTCATCTCTACTAAAAATACAAAAATTAGCCTGGCGTGGTGGCACATGCCTGTAATCCCAGCTACTCCAGAGGCTGAGGCAGGAGAATTGCTAGAACCCAGGAAGCAGAGGTTGCAGTGAGCCAAGATTATGTCACTCTACTCCAGCCTGGGTGACAGAGCAAGAGTCTGTCTCAAAAAAAAAAAAAGATGAAAGGTCCTAGTAAAAACTGCTTAGAAGGCCAGCTGCAGTGTTCATACTTGTAATCCCAACACTTTGGGAGGCTGGGATGGGTGGATTATTTGAGCCCAGGAGTTTGAGACCAACCTGGGCATCATGGCGTAACCCTGTCTCTGCTAAAAATACAAAAATTAGGCCAGGCGCGGTGGCTCACGCCTGTAATCCCAACACTTGGAGAGGCCAAGGCGGGAAGATCACGAAATCAGGAGAGCGAGACCATCCTGGCTAACGCGGTGAAAATCCGTCTCTACTAAAAATACAAAAAAAAAAAAAATTAGCTGGGCTTGGTGGCGGGTCCTGTAGTCCCAGCTACTCGGGAAGCTGAGGCAGGAGAATGGCGTGAACCCAGGAGGTGGAGCTTGCAGTGAGCCAAGATCGCATCATTGCACTCCAGCCTGGGCGACAGAGCGAGACTCCGTCTCAAAAAAAAAAAAAAATTAGCTGGGAGTGGTGGCGTCCACCTGTAGTCCCAGCCACTCGGGAAGCTGAGGCAGGAGAATGGCGTGAACCCAGGAGGTGGAGCTTGCAGTGAGCCAAGATCGCATCATTGCACTCCAGCCTGGGCGACAGAGCGAGACTCCGTCTCAAAAAAAAAAAAAATAGCTGGGAGTGGTGGCGTCCACCTGTAGTCCCAGCCACTCGGGAGCTAAGGTGCGTGTATCACTTGTACCTGGGAGGCAGAGGTTGCAGTGAGCCAAGATCATGCCACTGCACTCTAACCTGGGCAACAGAGCGAGAGACTGTCTCAAAAAGAAAAACTGCTCAGAGCACTAATGAAAATGAACATGTAGAGAGATTGGAAAAGGGCATTTGGTCTAGAAGTCAGCAGAAGTCTGTTCAAAATTCAGTCTTTGAAAGATAAATACTGGATGATGCCAGTTATATGAGATTCCTAGGTAGTCATACTCAGACAGAAAGTAGAATGATGGTTGCAGGGGCTGGAGAGTGGGAAAAATAGGGAGTTGTTCAGTGGGTATAGTTTCAGTTTTGCAAGATGAAAATGTTCTGGAGGTTGGTTGCACAACACTGTGAATATACTTAACACTACTGAACTATACATTTAAAAATGCTTAAGATGGTAAATTTTATGTTACATGTATTTTATCACAATCTGTTTAAAATTATTTTTGAAGGCCAGGCATGGTGGCTCACAGCTATAATCCCAGCACTTTGGGAGGCTGAGGCAGGTGGATCACCTGAGGTCAGGAGTTCAAGACCAGCCTGGCCAACATGGTGAAACCCCGTCTCTACTAAAAATAGAAAAATTGGCTGGGCATTGTGGTGTGCGCCTGTAATCCCCAGCTACTCGGGAGGCTTAGGTCGCTTCAACCTAGGAGGCAGACGTTGCAGTGAGCTGAGATCATGCCGCTGCACTCCAGCCTGGGCAACAGAGCAAGACTCCATCTCAAAAACAAAAAATTACGTTTGATTGGTAGTTTCTAGGAATGTTTTAATGGGTATAGTGAAGAGTATAGGTTTTGAAATCTGACAGCCTTAGGTTCGAATCCCAGTTCTGTCACTTACTAGCTTTGTGACCTCATGCAAGCTAATTATTGGACCCTTATTTTCCTAATCTTCAAAACAAGGTGATAACCTGTATAGGGCATACCTGTCTCTCAAGAAAAAGCTTGAGCCAGAGGCAAGAACTCTGGGAAATTGGTTTCTCTGGTGCTAGTTGTTTTTGGTGTGAGTAGGTGTGTGTCAGGGCACCCAAACAGGGCCTTTATTCTGTCACCCAGGCTGGAGTGCTGCTACTTTTTTAGGATGTGTGTGAGAGAGAGAGACAGGGTCTCTGTCGCCCAGGCTGGAGCGCAGTGGCACAGTCATGGCTTACTGCAGCCTCAAATTCTGGGCTCAAGCGATCCTCCTGCCTCAGCCTCCTGAGGAACCAGGACTACAGGTGCTTGCAACCATACCTGGCTAATTTTTTGTAGAGATGGAGTCTCACTTTGTTTCCCAGACTAGTCTCAAACACTTCTGGGCTCAAGCGGTCTCTGGCCTCTGCCTCCCAAAGTCCTGGGATTACAGGTATAAGTGACCATGTCCAGCCTCTCTGCTACTTCTTTTTTTTTGTTTTTTTTTGTTTTTTTTTTTTTTGAGATGGAGTCTTGCTCTGTCACCCAGGCTGGAGTGCAGTGGCACAATCTCGGCTTGCAACCTCCGTGTCCTGGGTTCAAGTGATTCTCTTGCCTCAGCCTCCCAAGTAGCTGGGATTACAGGCACCCACCACCACGCCCAGCTAGTTTTTGTATTTTTAGTAGAGATGGGATTTCACCATGTTGGCTAGGCTGGTCTCAAACTCCTGACCTCAAGCAATCCACCTGTCTGGGCCTCCCAAAGTGCTGGGATTACAGGCATGAGCCACCGTGCTCAGCCTCTCTGCTACTTCTAAGCTACTAGATGGGGTTTTAGTAACTAGTTTACTAAATAGGACAGATAGGACACAATTAACTATTTGTGGCTATTGCTGCATTTATAGCCTGGGATAAGCCCTGATTTATTTGATTAGTCCTCATTCTGTGAGTGACCTCTCCTCTCTGTTTTTCAGGGTTAAAGCACGAATTGGGAGCTCTCAGCGACACCACCAGTCAGCAGCCAAAGACCTAACTCAGTCCCCTGAGGTCTCCCCAACAACCATCCAGGTGACATACCTCCCCTCAAGTCAGAAGAGTAAACGTGCCAAGCACTTCCTTGAATTGAAGAGCTTTAAGGATAACTATAACACATTGGAGAGTACTCTGTGATGGAGCTGAAGGACTCTTGCCGTAGATGAAGCCAGTCAGTTGCAGTGTGCAAGACAGGCTGCTTGCCGGGCTGCCCTGGGGACATCTGACTCAGCAGGCCCAGACTGTATCCATCGAAGTTCCCGTTGTATCCAGAGTTCTTAGAGCTTGTGTCTAAAGGGTAATTCCCCAACCTTTTCTTATGGGCATTTTTAGAACATTGGCTAAGACTATTTTCCCCCAGTAGCACTTTTTTCTGGATTTGCATTCAGGTGTTATTCTTAATGTTTCTGTCAAAGCTTCTTAAAAATCTTCACTTGGTTTCAGCCATAGTTCACCTTCCCTGTTCCAGGTTTATTTAATTCCAAAGGTGAGAGTTGGAGAGAGATGTCTTCCATATCTATACCTTTGTACACAGTTGAATGGGAACTGTTTGGGTTTAGGGCGTCTTAGAGTTGATTGATGGAAAAAGACAGGAACTGGTGGGAGGTCAAGTGGGGAAGTTGGTGAATGTGGAATAACTTACCCTTGTGCTCCACTTAAACCAGATGTGTTGCAGCTTTCCTGACATGCAAGGATCTACTTTAATTCCACACTCTCGTGAATAAATTGAATAAAAGGGAATGTTTTGGCACCTGACATAATCTGCCAGGCTATATGACAGTAGGAAGGAATGATTTCCCCTAACAAGCCAATGCACTGGTCTGACTTTATAAATTATTTAATAAAATGAACTATTATCAAATAAAACATGAATCAGTCCTTTATAGTTGTCTTTTAATAAAACAGGCATTTGATAATGTTATCTGCACATTTCTAACAGGGTATAAGGCGTGAGGATTTGCCTCCAGAGAATTGGTGGGACTGTGTGCATACCCTGGACCTAGGACCATACAGATACTCCTTGGGACCCTAGCACAAGAAATCCTAAAATCAGGACTGTGACCCTTGCTCATAGAATTGCCTGTGTCATCAACAGAAGGATGCAGAACAAGGATTCTTTCAAGGTTTCTGGGGCAACAGGCCAGGTGGCCAATCAACTCCTAGGCCCAGGGTTATTGTTGGAGGCGTAAATGTTACTATGACTACTGAAACCTTGGTTACTGAACTAAACAGAAAGAGGAGCCTGTCAGTCTCCTCAGGCTGTATCAAGCAAATCTATAGACATGTCTGTGGAAAAGATGACAAAAGTAGAAGAGGTACGCAGAGTTGGAAGGAGGGGCTGGGCTGAAGTTTGATGAGGTTTCCAGATCAATTTACTATAAGTGCATCTTTTACTGGGAAAGGCTTTTGATGTAACAAGGGTACAATGTAGTTAGTAACAGGAGGGGAGGCTATGTCTAGAACATAGTAGGTATTCAAATATGTATTCCATCCAACCCCTGCATGTTTTCTTTGATCCATTCTGAAAGTAGAGCTTTCCTCTCCCTATTTCCCCCTAGGAAATTGCTTTCTCAAAAATGTCTATGTGGCTGGGTGCTGTGACTCATGTCTGTAATCCCAGCACTTTGGGAGGCTGAGGCAGGCAAATCACCTGAGGTCAGGAGTTTGAGACCAGTCCGACCAACATGGAGAAACCCTGTCTCTACTAAAAATACAAAGTTAGCCAGGCATGGCAGTGCATGCCTGTAATCTCAGCTACTCAGAGGCTGAGGCAGGAGAATCACTTGAACCCGGGAGGCGGAGATTGTGGTGAGCTGAGATCACGCCACTGTACTCTGGCCTGGGCAACAAGAGCAAAACTCTGTCTCAAAAAAAAAAAAAAAAGGTCTATGTCTCTCATTAGAACAGGGTTCTAGGGGTGAGGTTCTGGAGACTGAGGCAGATCAACAGAACTACGTTTTCTTGCAGAGTTTTCAAAGGGCCATGGGACTTAAGAAGATGGTTGACAGGTAATCTGCTTCTATCCCCTCCCTTTACCTTTCAGCTTGACCTTTCCACTCTGCTGTCTTCCCTGAGCCATCTCCCAATTCTGCTGCATCTCTTTAGGGGCTCATTAAGAAGGAAAAGAGATGCAGAAGGGGTGAGAAGCAGCCTTGTCCTCAAAGCAAATGAGATCAGCCTGTTAGTGCCCAGTAGGTTAGGTGATATAGATTGGTTTTTATTGTCCCCTGCCTCTCATTCTCTGGAAGAAAATTGAAGCATGTTTTTATTTTCTTTTTTTATTAAGAATTCAAGTATTTGTTGCCTGGCTTTGTACTAATTATGTGGTTGGTAGTGCAGTATTTGTTGAATCAGTGAATGAGAAGATTCACAAGACTGGGCTACATAGCCTTTTCACCCTGATGAGCTTTTGAAAAAACACTGATGCGGCCGGGCGCGGTGGCTCACACCTGTAATCCTAGCACTTTGGGAGGCCGAGGCAAGAGGATTGCCTGAGATCAGGAGTTCATGACCAGCCTGGGCAACATGGGGAAACCCTGTCTCTGCTAAAATACAAAAGAAATTAGCCGGGCATGGCGGTGTGTGCCTGTACTCCCAGCTACTTGGGAGGCTGAGGCAGGAGAATTGCTTGAACTCAGTGAGCCAAGATCGCACCATTGCACTCCAGCATTGCAGCCTGGGCGACAGAGCAAGACTCCGTCTCTACAAAAATAAAAAATAAAAATAAAAACTGATGCAAGCCTGGCGTGGTGGCTCACACCTATAACCTATAATCCCAGCACTTTGTGAGGCTGAGGCAGGGGGATTGCTTGAGCCCAGGAGCTCGAGACCAGCCTGGGCAACATAGGAAAAGCCTGTCTCTGCCAAAAAAGTTAAAATCAGCCAGGTGTGGTGGTGCATGCCTATAGTCTCAGCTACTCAGCAGACTGAAGCAGGAGGATCACTTGAGCCCAGGTCAAGTGATGCCACCACTGCATTCCAGCCTGGGTGAGAGAGGAAGACCCTGTCTCAAAACAAAAAATGGGCTGGGCACATTAGCTCATGCCTGTAATCCCAGCACTTTGGGAGGCCAAGGCAGGTGGATTGCTTGAGCTCAGGAGTTCGAGACCAGCCTGGGCAACATAGCAAGACCCCCATCTCTACCAAAAAATTTAATTTAAATAAATAAATAAACACCGATGCCTAGTTCTTAACCCTAGGAGATTCTGATTAAAGTGGTCTGAAATGGGATAGGAGAAGCCTTTTTTTAAGGGTTCACAGGTTATATCCAGAGCTAGCAAGGATGTGAAGAAACAAGAACACATGGCCGGGCGCGGTGGCTCAAGCCTGTAATCCCAGCACTTTGGGAGGCCGAGATGGGCGGATCACGAGGTCAAATGGCAAAATAGGAATTTTTTATCTTAAATATACATACTTGGGAAAAGCACTAGAAGGGTACATACACTAAGAATGTTCATGACAAGTATTGCTTTATATGATATATATATTTATTTTTGAGACAGAGTTCGCTCTTGTTGCCCAAAGGTTGGAGTGCTGTGGCACCGATCTCAGCTTGCTGCAGCCTCCACCTCCCGGTCACAAAGCAATTCTCCTGCCTCAGCCCTCACCCAAAGTAGTTGGGATTACAGCGCGCCTGCCACCACACCCTGGCTAATTTTTGTTTTCAGTAAAAGAGTCAGGGTTTCACCACGTTGGGTTTTGTCATGTTGGCCAGGCTGGTTCGAACCGCCTGACCTCAAGTAAATCTCCCGCCTCGCCTCCAAAGTCTGGGATTATAGGGGTGAGCACCACACCTGGCCTGATTACATGTTGTTTTTTTTTAGACGGAGTCTCACTCTGTCGCCAGGCTGGAGTGCGGTGTGCCATCTCGGCTTCACTGCC